AAATTTCATCCAGGAAAATATTGTGAAGATTGAAGCTATTGTCTTCAGTCCCTATCACAAAATATATCTCCCAACCATCAAGTTAATCCTTTTCCGTGCCAACTCTTTGAGAATAAGCCAAACTATAAATAACTATTTGACCCTAAGATGAGTTTCTAGTCACAGACATGACCCATCATCAAGGCTTCATATTTCCACTTGTGTAATACTGCCTTACTTCACCTGTGCTTCAGTCCATTTGCAGCTGAAACTTACATTTATGTTATGTCTTCTCTAGACTTGACTATCCTAATGCACAACTGACATGTCTGCCTTGTTCTACCTTCATCTTACAGTCACCCAAAACTCGCCTGCCCACAGCTTAGCTCATACTAATAAAAGTAAAATATTGTGGATGCTGAAAACGTGCAACAAAAATACAAAGTGCTGGTGAAACTCAGCAGGTCTGGCAGCATCTGTAGACAGGAAAACAGTTAATGTTTCAAGTCTGGTACCACTCTTCTTCGGAACTTGGAAGTTGATGCTGCCAGACCTGCTGAATTTGTCCAGCATTCTATGTTAGTTAACTCGTACTGAGATCTGTTAACATGTCACCCCCATACTCATTGACCTACATTGGTGCCCAGTTACACAGTGCTTCGAGTTTAAAACCAACTTTCTTGTTTTCAGCAATTCTGAAGGAAACATACTGAAGAAGACTCACTGGACTCCCTTGCTCTAGCCTCAGTTTACGCAGTCACCCAAAGCTCTGCTGCTTTCTTCTCTCCACAAATGCTGCCAGACCTGTTGAGCTTTCCAACAATTTCTGTTTATGCAGGTTTCAGAGCTCCAGCATCTGCAGTTCTTCAATTTATATTCTGGTCCCATCCTACCTCTGCAACCTCCTCCGGTCTCGAGTGTCAGAGATGCCTCATGGTCCTCCAATTACAACCTCCTCAGCGTTGAGTCACTTCATCACCGGCAGCCCTGTCTGCCATTGTCAAGACCCTAAGGCTCAGGAATTTCCTCCCTGAATACCTCTGCCTCTCCTTCGTCTTTTAGAACACTCTCTAAACCCATCTCTTCGACAAAGTTTCTGCTCATCTGCCGAGTACTGATTTATGTAACTTGGTGTCAAGTTTTGTTTAGAAACACTACTATGAAGCATCTTGGTGTGTTTTATTGCATTAAATGGGGCAGCATGGCATGGCAGCTCAGTGGTTAGCACGCTGCCTCACAACACCAGGGACCTGGGTTCGATTCCAGCCTTGGGTGACTGTGTGGAGTTTGCATAAACACCCTGTATCTGCGTGGGTTTCCTCTGGGTGCTCCAGTTTCCTTCCACAGTCCAAAGATGTGCAGGTTAGGTGAATTAGCCGTGGGAAATGTAGGGTTATAGGGATTGGGTGGGTTTGGTGGGATGCTGTTTGGAGGGTCGGTGTGGACCAAACGGCCTGCTTCTTACACTGCAGGGATTCTGTGAAATGCACCAAACAGGTAGAAGTCGGTGCTGCTAAATTACTCCTCTTGTTCCTATGTAATATTTTGAGTGAAATATATCCAAAGGTGAGGACAACTTACGTATAGTCTTCTCCTTTTGACTGGTGTTCCAGGACATCTTCACCACCTTGGGCTCACCACCTCCTTTCTCATACATATATAGAAGTTCAGAATGCAATTTCAATAAGGCCCCTTTAAGACTGTGCACTACATATGAATATGACAAGTAATTTTTAGAAAGATAACTTATATTTCTTCACAGTCCTGAAAACTTCCAATGATTGCCTCAGCAAGTGCTAATGAATTGTTGCACTTGTAAAGACAGCAGAATTCTATTTATGCAAAAACAAATTAATGAGGCGTCAGTGTAGGAGAATCAGGTGAAAGTCACTAAGAAACAGTCACCTTCTGTATGATTTCCGAATTAACATGTTCCCTCAACCCAGCAAACCACCCCATCCCCACCCACTGCCACCCTTCTCCACCACAAAAACATGCAAGGAGAACTTTGCTCTGATTAAAATGGTTTTAATTAGTGCGATCAAGCCCTACTGTGGTTACTGCTGTATAGCATGGTACTGAAACAATTACAGCCAGTGTCAAATAGCTGCCACCAACCCCATTCCACAGTAAGCATACAGTGAAGTATTTGACCGCATGCAATCTGTTTGATTGAATGTAAATCTTTGCTATTGCTAAGCCTTTCCTGTACCATTCTACTGAAATCTTCATTTTGTGTAGAATTTTTGCTTGAGGTGAGGGTTGATGAGGCTGCTGCCATAAACATGAAACACATTCTGATTTAGCACTGAAAAATGCCTTCTATCTGACCCCCATAGGCCTGCAGTGCTCGTCATAAGTGTAGCCCAACTGTAAAAAGTTACAGGACAAGTAATGCAACTTTGGCAATGTAAGCCAGTTTGCCAACTTAGCGTGAATTAGCAATGTATTCTGTGAGCTCGATCTCAGTAGGAACTGAATTCAGGGTTACATGACTTCATTTAATCAGAATTAAAAAGGCCAGCCAACATAACAGTGTGCTATCCCAGTTTCAATTGAATTTCAATCAAATTGCAAATAAAAGGCCAACTCTTAAACCGTTCTATTACCCAGTCGCCATGTGCTGGTGAATATGACAACTAATCTGCAGGTACTTAGTGATATGCAGATTCTCAAAGATGCTCTAAACATTTCAGAACCATGCAAGTGATAAGTTGCTTTTTAGGTATGGTGTCATTATATAGGCAAATGCAGCAGTTACTATGCAATGCTGTAAAGCCTCCCAAACAGCAAAATGGGATAATCAGTCCCCATGTCCTGGACTGCTCAATAACAGTTTTACTTGCGATAGCTGCTACTTTTCACATTTGCTATTAATTTCATGTTGTTGCACTTTATCTCCTTCAGGTGCAAACAACCTGCTATGGTACAGAAAGTGACTTGGAGACAATAGGGACTGGAGATGCTGGAAACTAGGGTCTATAGGTGGGAGGCTGGAAAAGCACAGCAGGTCAGACAGCATCCAAGGTGCAGGAAAATCAACGTTTCGAGCCGAAAACCTTCGTTAGAACAAGGGAGGGGGAGGGGAGCCCAGAAATAAATAGACGGAGGGGCTGGGGCTGGGGGAAGGGTATGAGAGATGGTGATAGGTGGATGCAGGTTGGGGGTATTGTGATTGGACTGTGGGAAAGGTGGAGTGGATAGGTGAGTAGGAAGTTGGACAGGTTAGGTCAGGTCAGGGAGGTGAAGGGGAGGGCTAGACATCGGATAAGGCTGGGGGTGGAGCGATTTTGAAGCTAGTGAAGTCAATGTTGAGGCCATTGGGCTGTAAGCTCCCAAAGCAAATTATCAGGTGTTGTAGTTCCAGTGAGAGTGGAGGAAGCCAAGGATGGACATGTTGTCAGGGGAATGGAAGGCGTTGCCATCCATTTTAATTTCACCTCCCACACTCCCTCACCTCCCCAACCTGTCCATCTTCCTACTCACCTATCTGCTCCACCCTTCGCACAGACCAATCAGAATAACTCCTACCTGCATCCACCTATCACCATCTCTTATAGCCTTTCCCCAGCCGCTATTTACTTCTGGGTTCCCCACCCCCTCTCCAGTCCTGACGAAGGGTGTCAGCCCAAAATATTGACTTTGCTGCTCCTCAAATGTTGTCTGACCTGCTGTGCTTTTCCAGCCGCACACCTATAGACTGTGGTACAGAAAGTACCCTGTACTAATAATTGTCTCACAGAGTTATAGTTAATATCCTGCTCATTATTTTCTCACTCAGTGTCTTGTCTTCGTGATTCTTTCATAGGAGTACAGTCAGGACCACATAAATGACTGTGCCCAATGAGAATCATTGTTAATAATTGTGTCCAGCATTAGCTCAGAGTGTCACCACATGCTGTGGTTCTACATGTCCCTGGTGTTGTGAAAGATGGGTCTGGCCACATTACTGCAGAACGCTCCAAATAGCTGGACTATGCCATATCACCTGTCCTTCAGAGAAAAATCTTTGACAACAAATCCATCAGGCAATAGTCAGCATGTAATATCCTCAAGGCCCTGTTGGAAAAGGAGACAGTCAAGCCTGCTGGTTGGCTCACTGAGCAGACTGTCATTTGCAGAATAGTGCATAACCAGAAATTTCAAACAAGCACCAAGAAGTAGCTTGGCCAGTGGTGAGAGGGGCACTACCTGTCGAATCGTTCACTCGTGCCCAGACTCTCTGCGCCACAATATGCTGCGCTTGAGATGCCTGAGGTGGTGACAAGACAGTTGTGCATCTCTGGAATGTTTGCAAGGAAGATCTAGGAGGAGATGCAGTGGCTTGTATTGTGGTTCATCCCGAGCAGCTCCGTGACTCAGGACTCTGTGCCACACAGACTGTTTACAGACACACACACTGAGACAAACATCGACTGGACCTGAAGGACTATCGACGTGGTGAAAGATGCTCTTTGACCTTCCAGTGTAAAGCACAATCCTGAACCAAATTTTGCAGACTGACACATTCTAAGGTCCAGGACTATGTGCTGAGGGTTACACTAATGCTTGGGGCAGCTGTTACAAAGGCACGGTGAGGAAAGGCCTTTGTCTAAGGCCTTTCTAAATAATGTAGCAAGGGGCTGGTTACTTATGCAACCTCTTGGTATGCTTGTAACAGAATGCACATAGTTAATGTCACATTTAATTAATGTCACAACTGTGCAATTAGATTGAGACACAAAGTGTGCAAAGCGCACAATCCGGATAAATGGTATTTTGTTTTCTGTAATGGCTGACTTGAAATGTTTCATGATGCACTTGTAGATACTTTATGAATAAAGTATATTCTTGCAAAAGAAAATTGTTCGCCTTGAGGAGGACCAAGTGACTGCCCTTTAAGTGCTTTCCTGGTCTCTGGTACTAATCTAATTCAATCTCCAGAAAATTCAGACTTTTGACTTAGTTTGACGATGTTTCCCTCAGCGGCCTCAAGGGCCAAAACATAAAATAAAATGACAGAAACTGTCCACATCTCTCACCTGTGTGTTCTGGATTTGTATTGTACCCTGCGGAATGGCCTGGGTCACCACTTGACCCTGAGAGGTTACCATAGTTACTGGCTGGTAGATTGTTCCACCTGTGAAGTAATATGGTACAAAAGACAACATTAGTGCTTTTTCACTTCGCTCTGATGAATACAAACTTGCTTCTAAATAGTGCAGATTTCTCACTCCATTGTCAACTGATGCTGAAAAGCCTTTGCGGGGGTGCAGGGGGGCTGGTTGTCAGACAAAAACAACTGGAAAAACTGGCAGAAACACACCAGGAAAGTCAAGGGGAACAAAAGGAAACCCAAACAAAATCATGCGAGTGAGGCCGATGAAACAAGTAGAGCAGTCAAAGTATTAGAAGGGTAAATAAGTTATGATAATTCATCTGTTTTTCAGTTCTTGAGGAAAGCAACTGCCAGCCAGAGATCCAAACAGCAGTATATCTAACTCCTGCCAGAGATTAACCATCCTTTGGGAAACTAACCATACAGTTGTGCCACTCAGACAACCGTGACATTGCTCCCCTTAAGTTGGAAGCAGGGGACTGGCATGAACGCGCCATCCCCTTCAAAACTAACTTCCTTCCTCTTGTTATCTGAGATCAGGTTCCTAACACTATTGTCATGAGCTTGTTTCTCATCACTCTGTGCCACAGGGAAATGGTTAATCAGTTTGCTATAGAACTTAATGGTTATGCCAATTTTAATGTGATTGAGTTGAAACTTGCCACAGAACTAATTTCAAAAGATAAAGAACCTCCTCCATGTTTGTATAGGAAATCTGTATGTATAAGATGTTAGTTTCTAATTTTGCTAATAGAATGCTGAATACCCAGCAGTGAAAGGGAGTAAGTCAAACAGCTAAAAGTAAAATACTGCAGATGCTGGAGATCTGAACTAAAAACAGAAGGAACTGGAGAAACTCAGCCGGTCTGGCAACAGAAAGAAACAGAGTTAACATTTCGAGACTAGTATGACTATTCTTCAGAACTCAGACTTCTGGAGTTGAGTCATGCTGGACTTGAAATGCTAACTCTATTTCTCTTTACAGAGACACAGCCAGACCTGCCAAATTTCTGCAGCAGTTTCAGTTTTTAAGACAACATGTGTGAACTAATTAGTTAATTCTGTTTAAACATATAAAGAGCCTTGTGGCACAGAGGTGGTATCCCTACCTCTGGATCAGAAGGTCCAGATCATGATTCACCTACCCCAGAGTGTAACCTAACATATCCAGGTTAAAATTAAAAATACTTATTAAAATGCATATAAGGAGTCAGCCAGGAGATGGCTGAGTTTAATGGTGTGTTATCAATTGAAATAAAACTAACCAGAAAGGGTATGCCTGGATTTTGCCTAAATGAATTTAAATACTAGTTAACAACTTAAGTATATTTACAAACTAGTCAAGTAAAGCAACTGAAAACAAATGAAGGAAGCAAAAGCTTTACTTAATTTTCCCTTCAATCCAACATGTACATAAAAATAAAATTTTATTTCAAAGGAACACTATAAAATCATTAAATTAGATCACAGTTGTTACAAAGCTTGTTCAATACTTTTATAACCATAAGCTATACAAAAATAGCTTAAACACTTCTTTAATATGGTGCCAAAATGTTTGCAGTTTCTCACTGTCCCAAGCTGGTTTAAAAGTCTGTGAATGAGAAACATACAACAAGCCAGGGGCAACAAAGATTGTTGGTGATGATTAAAAGCTTGCATCAGAAATGGGCATTGTAACCAAATGGTTATCTTACAGATCTGAAACAACTTTGATTTTGTATGTACAAATCATATCATGGCATATTGTAAAAGCAAATTCAATAGATCTAGATAATACTTGGTTTATCACCAGAAAGCAGACATTTATCATGAAACCTCAACTGATTTATAAAGGCCTTCACATAATATTACTCCAACATAATCTATCCTGCATGTGACTCCAGAGCCATGTTGCGAAATAATTCCCCTCTTTTCCACTACCCCGCAAACCCTCCCAAGACAGAATAAAGCTGTCTTTTTTTTTAGTGGAGCACTGATTCAATATTAATTTGCTCCTATTTTATTTGATTGAGGACAGGCATTTTTGAGGGGGCAATCTGAACACCATGAAGGTGACATTTTGAAACAGCAACTGCTTCTCAACTGGGAGACAGAGGTGGTTTCCAGAACCAAGCTCAAGCACTTCTGCATGGAATCAGGCTATCAAAAGCCACTGCCTGCAGTGTTGTAAAATTGAAACATAGAACCCTTCATTCATAGTGTTGTAAAATTGAAACATAGAAGCCTTCATTCACTCCCAGGACCTGTTCTGCTTATTCCACCATGGGAGCAACCTCCAACGATTCAACTACAGAAGCTGTTGCAGATGTTAGATCTGACCTCAAGTTTCAACCCTTCAATTCATAAATGGAATGTACAAGCAAGCCACGTCTGTAACAATATTAGGGACTGACTGGATTTTAATTTTTACACTTAATTTTCATCCTTACTTGCTTCAAATCTTTGCATCTGTATTTTAGCTAATAGCTAACTTTTATATGCATAACCTTCAGCGATTTATGTAATAAATTATCATTTTACATTGTTTAAAACATAAAGCTGTGCTGCTGATTATTTTTAAATTGAAATGCTCAATAATTAGAAGAGGGCGGTCTATAAGCTTGTACAAATCTTTAGACCAAGGATCAATCTGAGTGTGTCTAGTACATATTTGTAACAGCATAAAGACCAAACAAAAAGACTATAATGTTGCTAAATCTTTTGTTCCTGTGGAAAACTTCAAATTGTTCATGTAATTGTGCAAAAAGACATTGGATGTGCATTAGTACGATTACACATTAATGTGAAAGTAACAATCAATCAATCAATATTGTAAATATTAAACAATTTAGCAGTCAATCTCAACATAGTTCAAGATGCCATACAGCTTGCCTTAACTGTGCAAAAGGTTAAAGATTACACAGTGCTTAAAAAGATGGCTTGCTGACAATTACTTCCTCAGTTCCTTTTTCTAGAAACAGAAGGTTCTGTTTCAAAAATCTGATATACATTTCTCTTCTTGTTCCTCAACTTCCATGTTTTCTTCAAAATCATGTTCAGTTTCTTCTTCTTCCTTAGGATGGTGCAACCTGAGAAGTTAATGCTTCTGCCAGCAAGATACCCTATGATGCCAAGGCCAACCATAAAACTATACCCAGTGGGGGATCAGTTAGCTTAGGTGGCTGGACAGCTGTTTTGCAATGCAGTGTAATACCAACAGCATGCATTCAATTCCTACACTGGGTGAGGTTACCATGAAGGGCTCTCCTCAACTTCTCTCTCACCTGAGGCATGATGACTCTCAGGTTAAACTATCACCAGTTGTTTCTGTCTCTCCAATGGGATAGCAGTGCTATGGTCTGGTAGGACTATGGTGACTTTACTTTTACCTATACCGAGTGGTCATCTCACTGGAGCCAGGGAGATAAATCATGGCGCCTGGCAATGCTCCTGTTACCAGGCCCCTAATGACTCTATTCTCCCCTACATATGCTCTCCTCTCCCCAGTATATCGTTTGAGTGCTCAGAATTCAGAACCATATTCATATTGGGTATGTTATACAAGTTTACCAAAACTGATTGGCTTATGTATTCTAGGCCTCTATTTATAAAGCTCAGGTTGCTGCACAATATACATGATAACCACAACTTTATTAGACAATTGTATATAACTTGGGCATTCATGTTAAGCAACCAGTACTGCTTTTTTGAACCTGGCCCAATGCGATAACTGGACAGCAACAACACCCCCGAGAGATTTGATTTTCCACAAAAAACACTGCAAATAATAATTCTGTGTGCAAATTAGAACATCTTCAAATAACAATAATGTTTTCTACCTTTGCATAACTCTTGGATTAACTTCCAAGATTAAAATTCAAAATACTTGCCAGTAAATTAACTTCAACCCGTTTACCTGCAATTTCTATCCATACAAATGAGCTCTGATAAGAAAAATATATATACTTTATAATTGAGTGGCAAGTATTTTCTCATTTTAAATTGAAACCAACCACACATGCCCTGCATGGAGTAAAATGCTGCAGATACTACGAACAGGAGACAAAGGATTTTATACCTCACTCCTCCCCCACACAAGGTTATTTCTTGATTTTTAGGTGCTCCATTTTCATTCTCACTAACAGCTTTATCAGGTGATACAGACACATAGTCACATTAATTTCTGTATTTATAGGGCACATGGTCTCGGAGAGAAGCAGAATTAGAAGAATTCAGCAATAGCCACTATAATCAGTACTCCTCCATTAAACTTAAAGCTACAATATATAAAGAAAGCATTCATTTCAATTGGCATGAGACAACTGATGTAAGTTAATAATAGAAGACTTTTATCAAAAAAACTGATGTACATTTGATATACAAAAAAGCCAATACCCTAAACAAAGTTGCAAGGTTGCACTTCCATGCATTTCCAATGATTATGCACAAAGCTGGAAGATTTTAACCAGGCACTTGCTGTTCTTTTAACTGCATCTTAGATCTCAGTCTCAGATTTAAATTTAAGACAGCGTCATGACTCAATAATTGAGCTCCACTATTCCACAATTCGTCACAAATGTGTAACTACTCAATTAAACCGTCAAGACGATCCATTTGCCTAACTGTCCGCTATTCAGGTCAAAAGTAATTTACATCAGGTTTTATTTTTTCGAGGAAAATGTCTATTTATTGTAAACAAACATACCCTTAACAAATGGGAATAAAATGACTAATTTACCACAACTTAGGCTATACCAGTTTAAAGCAGCAAACGTTCATGAATAAGGCAAAAACAGACTGTTTGATACAAATATTAAGGATAGAAAAACAGACAAGGAAAGACAAATTATACTCAAGAGTCCAGGCCACAAGGGCAGCACGGTGGCTCAGTGGTTAGCACTGTTGCCTCACAGTGCCAGGGACCTGAGTTCGACTCCACCCTTGGATGACTGTCTGTGTGGAGTTTGCACATTCTCCCTGTGTCTGCATGGGTTTCCTTCAGGTGCTCCGGTTTCCTCCCACAGTACAAAGATGTGCAGATTAGGTGGATTGGGCATGCTAAATTGCCCCGTAGTGTCCAGGGATGCATAAGTGAGATGCTTTAGCCATGGGAAATATAGGGTGGGGGATGGGTCTGTGCTAAAGTGACACCAGCAGCATGGGTTCAATTCTCACCCCAACTCAGGTTCCCATGAAGGACTCTCCTTCTCAACCTCATCCCTCTCCTGAGGCTCAGGTTAAACAAACATCAGCCATGTTTCTCTCTAATGAAAGACCAGCCCTATGATCCATGAGGAATTATGGTGACTTTACCTAGTTAACCTCCATTGACCTACCAGTCCAAATAACTATCAGCCTGTGTCTATGACAGGAAATGGCTTCTCTTAATTATTACTGATAATCATGTTTTTTGAAATATCTGCACATTGGATGTGCTAGTCATTAATATTTAATTCAATTAATACAGTCATAACTCTGAAAAGAGCTACATCCTGATGATTAACCCAACTCTTCCACTTTCTATCAAATCCAAACATATTCCCTCCTATTTTGTCATTCCTAAAAGCACATGGAGTATCATTTCATCTCAGGCAGCAGTGCATTCCGTCCTCTACAAAGACAAGTATGAAGGGTATATTCTATTTCAATCAGAACTTAATGCACTTCTGCCGGGCACAAAATAGTTCTTCTCTAATATCTCTTGGATTTTCTCCTCATAATTAAGAGCTCTAAGAACTTCCCTGACATCCACTTTGATATGTATCTTCACTGTGTGCAAAAATCACAACTGGAGACAATTAATTAAGTATGCTCAATGTGTAAGCTGATGAGTCAATAAGGAGGGGATTTAAAGTTTTGGCAGAGATCTGTAGCTCGGGTTGTGGATGAGGTTGTTGAATTGCTCGCCGAGCTGGCGTGCTTTTGTTCAGACGTTTCGTCACCATGCCAGGTGACATCATCAGTGGAGCCTCTGATGAAGTGATGTTATTCTACTCCGCTTAGAATTTATACTGTCCGGTCCGTTACGGTGAGTAGTCATTTCTGGTTTTGATCTGTATGGGTTTGTATATGGGGTCCAATTCTACATGTTTGTTGATTGAAGTATGGGTGGAGAACCATGCCTCTAGGAATTCCTGTGTGTGTCTTTTGTTTGGCTTGGGCTATTATGGTTACTTTGTCCCAGTTAAACTGATGGCCTTCATGGAGGGTATATCAGATAGATTACGTGCAGGTAAAGTTGTTCGACACCAGGGTGAGATGAGATGCATCCGAGCACGCTAAGGGACATGACAGTGGAAACTGTAACACATAAGTAACATTCTCGCAATGCAAACACCACATAATGACCATCTCCAATAACAGTCAATCGAGAGGCTGACCATTACAGAGTGCTTCATTATCAACACCTTGGGGGTTAACATTGACCAGAAATAGACTCACTATATAATTACAATGGCTACAGGAGCAGGTCAGGAGCTAGGAATGCAAAGCCCATTCACCATCTACAAGACACAAATCAGGAGTGTGATGACTCTCCACTTGCTGACATGGGTGGAACTCCAAGAACACTCAAGGAGCTTGACGCCATCCAGTACAAACCAGCCCGCTTGACTGGCACCACATCCATAATAATCTACTCCCTTCACCACCGATGCTTAGTAGCAGCAGTCTGTACTATATACAAGATGCACTGCAGAAATTCACCAAAGATCCTTAGATAGCACCTTCCAAACCCACAGCCACTTCCATCTAGAAGGACAAGGGCAGCAGATGCATGGAATACCACCACCAGCAAATTCTCTCCCAAGCTACTCACCATCCTGACTTGGAAATATGTCACCATTTCTTCACTGTTGCTGGGTCAAAATCCTTGAATTCCCTCTCTAATGGCATTGTGGGTCTACCTACAGCACACAGTTTGCAAATTTCTAATTTTAAGACTTGAAATCTCAAGAAGATTACTCCTTACCCCTGCTTGCACCAACGCACCCCCCTCTCCCGCCCCCATCTCAAGGAATAGGTAGAAATCAAATCATTTCTGGGTCTTAATCTCTCAATTGTCGTTTGGAGGAATGGGGAAGGAAAATAGAATGTATGTAACGGTGGGGGAAAGAGGGGAAACAGAAACAAAATCAAAAGCTGACAACGCCCTTGTTAAATCCTAACAATGACCCTTACCTGTTACCACCTGTGTTGCCATGGCAGCATTCCCCTGTTGTAGGGCAGATGTTGGTACCACAATTCCCTGGGAGTTGACAGCGTTGTTTATTGTTGTTAGAGAGTCTGGAGAGTTCTGCAGCAAAAATAAAAGCAACAGATAAGTGAAGCAAGGTGTTGGATGGTACTTTGTATCTGCAGGGAACCCTGTCTGAACCATAAAGTACCATTGCACTGGCTGGTCTAGGAAAACGTCTGCCGTAAACCAGAGATTTCGGATTGTTAGTGACAATCTATGAAGCAGACCAAAAGATCGGGCTCCAGTTCTTTCTCGTTTCACTGAAATTTTAAGTCAGCTTTCTCACATGCACCTCACTGCAGTGTCCGTATGCATTGAACTTCAAATCCCTGGAGATTATTTGGTTAGGTCAGTCTTGCTGACAATTTCATCATTTTTGGCAAAGTGGGGTTGAATGAAGTGGACTGGATGAGATTTTTTTTTTCTTTATTCTTAACGGGATGAGGGTGTTGCTGACCAGGCAGCATTTATTGCCCATCCCTAAATTCCCAGACGGCAGTTCAGAGTCAACCACATTGCTGTGGGTCTGGAGTCACATGTAGGCCAGACCAGGCGAGGATGGCTGTTTCCTTCCCTAAAGGACATTAGTGAACCAGGTGGGTTTTTCCCCGACAATCAACAATGGATTCATGGTCATCATTAGATTCTTAATTTCAGATATTTATTGAATTCAAATTCCACCATCTGCCAAGACTGGATTTGAACCCGGGTCCCCAGAATGTTATCTGGGCCTCTGGATTATACCTCTAGGCCATTGCCTACCCTGTCAATCCATAATTAAGTGGTCAATATCATTGTCCCTGGCAGCAGAATGGAAAAAAAATATTAATTTGTTGACTATTCTTGTGTCCCAACTCCGGGCACAGTTTGAGATTAGCTCTTGATGCACTGATTAGGAAATTGACTAAATGCATAGCTGATTTCTTTATGTTAGTATCACCTGGCAAGGGCAGCTTTTCATATCTCACTTCAGGCAAGTTAAAAGGAAAGGGAGATTCAGGCCATCCCAAAGGTGGCTCATGGATAATGAAGTACCTTTGAAGCCTAATCAATGTTGTAAGGTAGCAAATACAGTCACCAGCAAAAGCATACAAAAATTCCCACCAACAATGAGATTATCCACACACTTTAACCAAAAACCAAGATCACTAAAACCGATTAAGGGTTACCTATGATTTAAAGTTATAGAGTCATGGAGTCATATAGCATGAAAACAGACCCTTCAGTCCAACTCGATCATGCCGACCGAGTTTCCGAAACTAAACTAGTTCCACTTGCCCGTGTTTGGTCCACAGCCCTCTAAACCTTTTCTATTCATGTACCTGTCCAAATGTTTTATAAGTGTTGTAACTATATCTGCATCTACCACTTCCTCTGGCAGTACATTCCACATACAAAGCCCCTCGGGTCCCTTTTAAATCTTTCCCCTGTCATCTTAAAAATACGCCCTCTAGTTTTGAACTCCCTCACACGAGGGAAAAGACCTTTGCTGTACATCTTATCTATGCCCCTCATGATTTTATAAACCTCTATAAGGTCACCCCTCAACCTCCTACTCTCCAGTGAAAAAAGTCCCGGCCTATCCTTACAACTCAAACCCTACAGTCCTGGCAATATCCTGGTAAATCCTTTCTGAACCCTTTCCATTTAATAATATTCTTCCTACAGCAGGGCAACCGGAATTGTACACAGTAATCCAAAAATGGCCTCACCAATGTCCGGTACAATCTCAGCATGGCAGCCCAACTCCTGTACTCAATGGTCTGAGCAATGAAGACAAGCATGCTAAATACCTTCTTAACCACCCTGTCTACCTGTGATGCAACTTTCAAAGAACAGGCTTGCAGTCTGAGAAATAACCCTCCACCACCATCCTCTGTCTCCTACTGTCAAGCTAATTTTGTATCCAATTGGCAAGCTCTCCCTGAATCCCATATGATGTAACTTTACTAATTAGTTTAATGTGCGGAGTCTTGGCAAAGGCTTTACTAAAGTCCATGTAGACAACGTATACTATTCTGCCCTTATCAATTCTTTCGGTTACGTCCTCAAAAAACTCAGTCAAGTTTGTGAGACACAATTTCCCACTCACAAAGCCATGTTGACTATCCCTAATCAGTCCTTGTCTCTCCAAATGCATGTAAAATTCCATCTCTCAGAATCCCTTCCAATAAAGTATCTACTACTGATGTCAGACTCGAAAGCCTATAGTTCCCAGGCCTCTCCTTTCTTAAATAAAGGCACACATTAGCCACTCTCCAGTCTTCTGGCATATCACTCGTAGCTATAGATGATACAAATAACTCTGCTAGGGGCCCTACAATTTCTTCCCTAACTTCCAACAATGTCCTGGGACACACTTAATTAGTTGATGAAAAAATACTGGACGAGCTCTCTTGCTCTTCTCTGGATACCACTGTTTGATAGTTATGTCCACCTGAGGGGGAAGATGAATCCTCAGTCTAGCTTCCCATTCAAAAGAGAATGGCTCAGGTGGCCCAGCATTGTCTCACTGCACTGCAGTGTCAGTCTGGATTTTCACCAAAGTCTCTACAGTAGGACTTCAACTTAACGTTCTGATTCAATATTCCACTCAGGCATGCCTTACTGACCTAACGTAAAAAATGATGATGGCAGGAGCAATTGAGGTCACTGTGCAACCTCACCCACTCCCCTAAACCGAGTTAATTTAAACTCCAACCTTCTTAAATTCTATCAGGCTACTGAAGAGGTTTCAAGATGCAGAACGCCCTTCCAAGAGATTCGATTTTACTCATCTCCTCCATCTTGCCACTTGGAACAAACACCAGTGTTCCTTAAAATCTTAGCTCAGAATCCTGTGATTGAGCAAAGGATTTTCTGGTAATCTATAGAGACACTAAAAGTTAAGAAATTTAAATCTGTATCAACCTTAGTGAGAGAAGGGGTCTCTGTCTGCAGTTAAAGACTGCACACTACAGGAAGGATGTCGAGACAATAAAAAAGGAAACAATGAAGATTCGTGAGGATGCTGCCTAGTATGAAGAATTATAAACATAAAAGAAGACTTAAAACATTTGAGCTGATTCTGTTATAACACAGGTAATTATGGAGAAATTTGACAGGCTTATTTAAAATTAGGGCAAAGAATAGAAAGAAACAGCTTGCTGCCAACGTTTGAGGAGATGAAACAAGAGAAAACACTTAAAAGATTTAAAATAAGAGATTTAGACAGAAAGCAGGAGAATCTTTCTTTTTATTTTGAAGGGACCATAGTAAAGTTTAACAATAGGTTAGAAAGATGGTTGAAGGAAACAGGACTAAAGGGCTTGGGAAAAGGCAATGCACATAGGATTAAGATAACTCATAAAGGAAGATAAACCTGAATACTGAATCATAGAATGATGCAGGGACTAATACACCTAAACCAGAGATAGCAAGAACTGCAGATGCTGGAGTCAGAGATAACACAGTGTGGAGCTGGAGGAACACAGCAGGCCAGACAGCAACAGAGGAGCAGGAAAGTTGATACTTCGGGTCGGGACTTGCGAACTGAAACGTCAACTTTCTGGCTCCTCTGATGCTGCCTGGGCTGTTGTGTTCTTCCAGCTCCACACTGTGTTATCTCTTATAGATCTAAATACCGTTTTCTGTTTTGCATTTCTACCACATTGACAACAGGTTATCGAATTGAAAGGTTAACTCTGCTTCTTTCTTTCCCGATGCTTCCAGACTAGCTGGATGTTTCCAGTATTTTCTATTTTCCTTCCTAATTTCTAGAATCTACAGAAATTTTCTCAGGCACGCCCACCATGCTGCTTTTGAGACAACCCTGCAATGGGCAGTTACGGATTTGTCAAAAATGCTGCTTTCAAAGAATCACCCATATCAAATTGGAAAAGGCAGCAGGGTAGCACTTGTTAATCACAGAAAGTGCTACATATCCAGCAATGCATATCATATAACTTCCAATCTGCAGCAAAGGTCATGAGCTTACTATAAAACAATTAATGGCATTGGAATCTTTGAACTGATGTAGAAGAAGTGGTCTCGAGGGGGAGATTAAAGCAGGAAGATTAAATATCACATAGTGATCAGAAATTCATTTCTCAATTTCAAATTAAATTGGACGACATCTCGGCCTACTTATGAAATTGGAAGTACTGAAATTTCTATTTTCACTGTACTTATTTGATAGTTAGTGCCAGCCTGATGCACGGACTTGCAATCACGCAGCATCGAGAATGACATAAAGCACAGAAGCATCGAAAGTCAGAAACAATGTGCAAAGCAACGGCAGCTTCGATAAATCTGCTTGAGTGTAATTCCGTGCACTAGCTGCCGATTTCATCCCTCTCCCTGGAAAGTGGCTGCAATTATCCATGTCTTTCGTGTCTGCAAGCTGGATTTCCAGCCACGTATCTGCGCCATTGCGAACACCTCCAATTTCCACCCATGTCTAAATCCAACTCTCTTCTCAGCTCAGTTGCTGCCTGAAACTCTCCTCTGTACTTTTGATGCCCCTAGATTTGACTATTGAAACCCAATCTTAGCTGGTTTCCCACATTCCCCTCCCAAAAACCAGAGGTCAAAATTCCATACCTCACACCAAGTCCCAGCCATTCATCAATCCTGTTTTTTGCAGACTTGCATTGCTCAGCGAGGAGACAAAGCAATTTCACATTTTTAAATCCCTCCATAACATCACTCTTCCACACTCTAAGCCCGTCCAGTCCCTTATCCCTTGGATATATCCATGCCTTTTTAATTTTGCTCTCTTAAGCACTTTCAACATTACTGGTGGTCATGTATTCAGTTGTCCTGGCCTAACCTCAGAGATTCCCTCCCTAAACCCTTATCACTCCTCCTGTAAATGCTCTTTAAAACCTACGCCTTGACAACATGTTTGTCTATCTGACCAAATACCATTCCAACAGCAATTTGTTCAGTTTTGCTTTATAACCTTCTTGTGAAAGGTCTTGTGATAATTCATAATTAAAGAATACAATATAAAGTCAAGTTGTTCCTCATGTTAAAAACACAGATTTGCAGTAACATGCACAGCAGGGAACTTGATG